TGAAAATGGCAGGTGATGCGTTTCGTTTTTGAACAAGGTGGGTTACAGGCAGTGCAGGCAGAAGAAGGTCAGACAGTTGCAAAGGGGTCGGGGCCTCCCTGCTGCTGGTTCCCCCTGCTCAGGGGTGCCCAGGGCAGCAGCCCCCACAAACCTCTTCCTTGGTTCTCTCCCTTGGGACCCCCAAGAGACCCTGAGATGCTGATTGCTTTGCAGAAGGGAAGGATTAGAAGGGAAACGCTCAGGGTAGGATCCACCTGGGCCGGCTGCTTCCAGCAAAGAACCGAATATCACGGTCAATATCTCCAAATTATTTATTCTGCCAGGCCGCCATCTTCTCGAGAGGAGGCTGAAGAAGGAGCCCTGGGCTGCTGGCCCTTGATCTTCCAAAGAGGACATCTTGAGCTCCTTGGCCTCTTTAGAAGCTTGCAACCTAATCCCTTTGCCTGAGCTGGAGCCCCAGAGGCAGGAGAGCCCAAATGAAAGTGTTCTGGGCCTTGCGTGGCGCGACCAGCGCCGTTTTCCCCGGAAGCTTTGGTGCTGCGGGTGAAGTCCTGGGCAGGCGATCTAAGGCGCCTGCCGCAGCTCCCCTGCCTGGCCAAAGAGAAGGGCCTCCTTGCGAAGGGCACCTCCCAAGCCCACCCACGGCTGACTTCAGGGCCAGGCTCAGCGTCCTGCTGCTGCTCTGCCCTCCTCGCCTTGGCATCTGAGCCGCCCTCTTGAGTTACAGCCTTGGGCAGGTGCGCCGAGCTGGGCTATAAATATCCCCAAGAAACTTAACAGGCAAGAAGGAGGCGTCTTTGGGGAACATGGTTGGCTGGACGAGGTTTGCCCAGAGCTTTGCCCAGACTTGAGCCCAGACCCCTTGACCAAATTGCTTGGGGATGGGCCAAGCAGTACACATTTTTCACCCAGCCGGGTCACCCGGATGGCCCTCCAGCAGAACCCGGGAGGCCCCTGCTGACTTGGCCCCTCCAATGCCCTCTGGGCGCTTCTGCGTCTGCCCTCCCAGAAGTCTGCCCGCTTTTCTCTGCAATTAACCCCATCACCTGGGGGGGGGGGCAGGGGGAGGGGGCAGCCTGTGCAAAGAGGGACCCAGCTTTCCTCCCCAGGAAGAGGAGGCTGGTTGGGCTTTCAGGGAGGGGGGAGCATTTGGTATTCCGAGGGGTGTGAGGGTCACCCCGAGGGAATCCCCACTTCGCACCTGGGTTTTTCTGCACCATCCTTCCTGTTCCCTCCATCCCTTCGTTCAAATAAATGGGCCGGGGGGAGGAGAGGGGGAAAGCCAGAGAGGCGGCCTGGAGAAAGGCCCTCGTTCCATCCCTCCATCCATGGAGGCCAGAGGTTGCTGGCCGAGCCTCTGAACCGAATGCCAGGCCCCTCTGAAGGGTCCGAGGACACCCGGGTTCCAAGACTGTCCCCTCTGGGCCCAGGAGGCCTCCCAGACTGGCTGTTTTCTGGGGACAGAAGGTGGAGAAGGCCGGCTGACCCCCCCTCCTTGTGATCAGAGCCTTTCCTGGTTTAGGACGCTGACCTGCCTCTCCCTGCCCTGGCTAATCCTGGCACAATCCTTTGGTCATCCTTACAGTCAGCTTTGAGATTTCAGGGACTCGCCGAGCGGCTCCTTGCCGAATCTCCCCCCCCCCCCCCCCGTGCAGATGGATTTATTGGCCTTTTAAGGACTGGGATCCTCTTGAGCGTGGGACGCAGCCAAGAAAGCCGGAGAAGCTGGCTTGTTCTCCATCACCTTCGCCCACGAGGCAAGGAAAGGGCTGGTGGGGTGTTCATGGGATTATTCGTCCCGCTTTTCCGCTCTCCCACCTGCATTCATGGGTCCCGGTCACGGGCCTGGTGGGAGCAGCCCACAAGCCATGGTTGGGTCTTTAAAAGCAGTCACGGGCCAAGACCAACACAAAATGCTTAGTCAGTTGGAAAAACCTTGGCCCAGAACTGGTGGAACCTGCCCGTCCCGGCAGCAGCAGGATGTCTGGCTGCACCACCAGGGAGGATACGGGACAGGCGAGGGGCAGAGCCACCTGGGCACAGCTGCCTCCCAGGTCTGGGCAGGTGAGGATCTTCCCAAGTGGGGATGGGACTTCCCACGCCACAAAGAGTTGAGGTGTGGGGTCCCCTTCACACAGGGGACCCCACTCGACGGAGAGAGGGAGCAGCTGCCGCGGTCTCTGGATGGAGCAGCCTTGGTCTCCTGGCCCCTCGGCCACAGCTGCCTCTCAGAGGCCTTTCTGCAAGCCTTCTTGTGACCTTCATGGACCAACATCAGCAAGCCTGGAGGGCCGGAGCCCGTGGCCTTCGGAGCAGCCTCCCCAGACCCGGTCAGGTCCCCGTTTGTCCCCAGCTGCAGAGAACCTCCTTGCCTGAGCAGGATGGAAGGGAGGCCAAACCGGATGCGGCTTCTGCAGGCTGCCAAAAGGGCCTTTTCGCCCAGAAGCATCGGAGGGAGGGAGGGAGAGCTGCTCCCTGGCCTGGCTGGCTGCAGCAATTGTTGGCTTTGGAGGGGGGCAGAGAGCGGAGCTCTGAAGCCCCCCCCCTCCCCTCCCCCCAGCACTGGCGTTTGAAAGGGGCTGCTCAGCATCGCGTGGTGGAAGGAAGGCCGGGGGGCAGAGGCTCCTTGTGCTGCTTTTGGGAGGCGCTGGGCACGTCTCCCGCTTAAGGACTTTTCCATGGAAGACTTAAAAAGAGCACGGAGGTCCAAGGCGCAGCCTCCAGAGAAGCCGTGGATCGAGGCCACGGGAAGACCCACCCGGTGGCTGACGGTCCTGGGCCGGCGTCCGTTTACTGGGAGGACGGATCCTGCCCTCCTGCTGCACCGGTTTGGGGGTGAATGTTTCTCGGGAGCAGGATTAGCCCTCGTGCACTGAATCGTCCCTGGGATCCACTTCTGTTTTCCCATCTTGAGGGACACGTCCGTGGCTGCCTCTGGCACAGCTGGAATTGGGGGGGGGCAGGAAAGGAAAACCCGGACAAAGCTGTTTTTCTTCTGCTCCCGGGCCCTCCCTCTCCCCCCCCCCCCATCCCTGCCAGCGGCTTTGCGTCACCATTATTTCCCACCCTCCATTCTCCACAGTGATCCTTCCAGGTAGACTGAGGCATACCTGACTGTGCTGCCCACCTGGCCAGTTGGAAAGGAAACACACACACACACACAGCCCATGTTGAGCATGGCCCCCCCCCCGTGACTCAGGTGCATCCATTTCACTTCGGCAACATCCTGGAAGTCACCGGTTGCTCCCTTAATGGGATGTTTGTTTGAGGTTCTCAACCTTGTTTGCAGGCTCCGGATCTCCCAGGGGTCCACTATCCCGATTATCCCTCTTGTATTTTGCACAGCTGAAAGCTAGTGCAACGGCAGAGAGGATCGCCCCGGGGAATTGCTCCGGGGAATCTGAGAGCCGGCGCTCCCTGCAGATGGGAAGCCCAGCTCGCCCCTTGTCCTGCACTGGTAAGGGGCCTAAGACCGCCGGGGAGGCCCCTGTCTCTTCTAGCCCAAATCCAGGTTTTTGGCACCATCAAGGATCGAACTGCTGTGGGGACCTAAACAAGGAATTCACACACACTCCCTTGGGACTTACAAAGCCTACATTGAATAACACATAATTTAGTAACCTCTAACAAACACACCTTCCCCTGCCTCCTTATGCAGATCCAGACAATTGTTCTCTGAGGAGACTTCCTGTCGCAACCCAGAATGAGTAAATGTTTTGGCCTTTTTGCCTTCCGGGCAGAGAGGATGCCTGCAAAATCATTAGGCAGAAAGATAATTAACTCCTCTGAGGATCAATCTTAAAGTTACAACCGTTTTTTCCGGGTTGAGAGCAGTTTGTGAAAGCGCCTTCTGACTCCGCGGAAGAAAACAGGTGGGGGCACTGGGGAAAGGCTGCTGTGGGTCACAGAGGATGCCGTCCAAATGGCACCGCCAGGCAGGCGGGGAAAGGGGCCCGTTTGGGCAGGGAGAGAGAGGTAAGGGATCCCGGGCTGCTTCCTGGTGCCCAGAATCCGCACTCGCCCACCTTGGCCCGGGGCTGGCATAGAGCCTGGCTCGCTTAGCCGAGAGCTGCACTGGCTGAGAGAGAGGGGCTGGGCTGCTGGGGCTCAGGGCGTCGACCTGGGAACCGGCTGTTGGGCCGGTGAGTGAGCAGCTCAGGTGGCACGAGGTTAGTTAGAGGTGTGTTTCTTCCAAGTTGGCTGCTTTAAGATCTGCGGACTCCAACTCCCAGAATTCCCAGCCAGCACGCCGGGCGTTGAAGTCCACACACCTTAAAGTGATCGCATTCCCCGAGTGCTGCCTTAGAAAGCCCCGGTAGTGGCAGCCGGCCAGCCAGCCCAGCTGAAGTGGAGGCACGGCTCGCTCGTGAAGGGAAGCGGCCAGCACCCGGCGCCGCCGTGGGTGCAAGTGGGAAGCTTGGCCTCCGCCTCGCGCTCCCCTGCCTGGGCATCCGGAGCGGCCGGGGGGCATTCGGGGCGGGCGCTGCTGCCCCTCCTGGCTCGCCCCTTTCCCCGAGCAGAGCCGGCCGGGGCTTCGCCCGACTTGAGCCTCTCCCGGAGGGAGCCTCGCCCCCCCCCCCAGCCCCCCCCGGACCCCCGTGGCAGCGCCCGGCCGCCGCCCCCCTCCTGCCCCCCCCCCCCAAGCGGAGCTGCCGTTCCTGGGTGGGCGCCGGAGGAGGAACCGGCTGGCGACGGGGATGCGGCCCCCGGGGAGGCTGCCTCTGCCCAAGGCGGCGCTCGCTCGCCCCCCACCCCCCCGCTCCGTCCCCCGAGCTCCGGCCGGCAACCGCGGGAGCGCCCGCCCTGCGAGGGAGGCCTCCGCCGCCGCCGCCGCCGCCGCCGCCCTGCCCTTCTTTAGGCATCGGCGAGGGCAGGCGGGGCGGGCGCGGGGCGGGCGCGGGCGGAGGGGGCGGCGCGCGCGGGGCCCTTTCCCAAAAAAGCATTGGCTGCCCGGCGGAATGCGGCGCCCCCCCGCCCCGCGAGGGTACTTATCCGCCCGCGGCCGCCGCGGAGCCGCTCGCACTCCGGCCAGGTCGACCGTCCCAGCGCAGCTCCGCCGCCGCCGCCGCCGCCTCTTCCTCCTCCTCCTCCTCCTCGACGGACTTCTGGCAAGTGCCCCGCCGCCGCCATGGACGCCATCAAGAAGAAGATGCAGATGCTGAAGCTGGACAAGGAGAACGCGCTGGACCGCGCCGAGCAAGCCGAGGCCGACAAGAAGGCCGCCGAGGAGCGCAGCAAGCAGGTGGGCCGCCCGCCTCGCCCGGAAGGAGCAGCCGGGGCCGCCCCGAGACCCCCGGCGGTGGCGGCGCCTGGGACGGGCTGCCTTGGGCGCTCCCCGCACGGCCCGCTCGGGGAATTGGGAGGGGAGGAGCTCGGCATCCCCCTCGGCGGGGATTTGGGGGGGGGGCTCTGTGAATTGGGGGGCCTGGATCCCAAGTGGTTGGTTGAATGGAGCCGGGTTGGTTGTTTCCGAGAAAAAGCAGCCGAGTGGAGGCGATCCAGCCCCCCAACTCCCCCTTCACAAGAGGCGTTTGCGCTCCTGGAAGTTCAGGTGTGGAGCCCGTCGGAAGGACGCCCCCCGCCCGCCCCCCTTTTCCTCCCTGGGGAGTCCCCTATCGTTAGTTGCCCCAGGCGGTGGCCAAGTTTAGTCTTCCCCACTTTATGCCTTGTAGATGTGTTGGGAGGACACCTCCGGTCATTTGAGGCTGCAGCTGGATGACGGGAGGAGGGTTTTTTTAGGGGGGGCGCTGGGTTGGTTGAGGCTCTGGGGCTTCACCCAAAGGACAGGAGGGCGACTGACTGGGTCATCGGACCTGGAGAGCTTAAGGCCCCCCGGCCCTCCTTTCTCAGCTGGTCTGGCCCGCCTGTCTTGGATCCTTCCAGTTCTTCCAACTGCAACGGGGTCAACCCGAGCAGAGCTGCCCCCCCCACCCCGCTCCTCTGGGGTCGCCCAGTTCCCCCAGCCATGAACCAAGCGAAGGGGCAGCTTCATCCAGACAACCCTCTGGGTCCCCAAAGCATCCAAGATAGGTGGGTTGTGTGAACACCCTCTGAGTTTGTACCTGACCCGGTTGTGCTGGTGAAGGCCGCCAGGGGAGGGAGGGAGGGAGGGCCGGACTGGGGGAGAGTAAAAGTGCTTCCTCCTCTTTTTGCCTCTGGCTGGTGCGGCTAGTTGGAGGACGACATTGTGCAGTTGGAAAAGCAACTGCGGGTCTCGGAGGACGAGCGGGACCGGGTCCTGGAGGAGATGCATAGCGCCGAGGACAGCCTCCTCACTGCGGACGAGAAGGCCACCAAGGTAGCCTCTCCGGATGCGCTAACCTCCTTCTCTCCTCTTCCCCTCCTCCCTCTGTCCTTCTGCACCTCCTCCCCCTCTTCTTCTTCACGCCGCCGTCGCGTTGCCTGCTGCACCCCCTTCCCTTCCCCCCACTCCCCCTCATCACCCCCCTCCCCCGGTCCCCAACCTCCGGGCAGTTGGAAGATGAGCTGGTGTCCCTGCAAAAGAAGCTGAAGAGCACCGAGGATGAGCTGGACAAGTATTCGGAGTCTCTGAAAGATGCCCAGGAGAAGTTGGAGGTGGCCGAGAAGAAAGCTGCAGATGTGAGTACCTCTCTAGCTCCCCCCCCCCACTGAGCATGTACACACACCCCCATCTTTCTGCCTCTTCTGGTCACTCAACCTCTCGGCCTGCTGGACTTGCCACCAGCCATGGGGATCACCCCGCCCCCCGCGCGCGCCAGGACCCGAGAGGGCCTGGGCATGAGATCTGCCATCCATCAGCCAAGAATCCTGGACACCTGGACAGCTCCTGCTGCCCCAGATGCCCACCTGGTGTTGGTGCCAAGGGAGCAGCAGAGGTGTGTCCCGCTGTGTTACTAGGAGCCATACCTGAAGCTGTTTGGGGGAAGGTTGTTGGACATGAGGCCGGCGCCCTCAGGTGTAAAACGAGAAACGCCTTTCTCCCAGGACCAAATCCTTGGACCTGCCCCCCCCCAGCACCCCCAGGGGTGAAAGGGCTTGCCTGGGCCAGTAGGCCCACCGAGTTCTTGAGCCAAGATTCCCATGTGGGAAAAGGTGCCCGGAGGACGAACGCTGATGCCTCAGAGGTGCAAAGATAGGCCGCTGAAGCTGGATGCCCGAGGCGTGCCAAGAGGCTTCTTGACGTGCCAAGGAGGGGATACTTGCTGGCTTGGCATTCAGTCACGGCCGGGGCCGGATCCCGGTGAGCGGGGGTTATATATAGCTCAGCACTTTATATGGAAGAGGGAGCTGTCTCTCTCACCCCCACCCACCTGTCTAAGTATTCAACCGTGCTACGGCTGCAGCCCTCCAGCCTTCCTGGCCCCTCAGCCTTCCCTAAATTCATTCCAAATCTGGGCTGTCGGCCCCTTAAGGTTGGGGGCGGGGGGGGGGGAGCCAGACATCCCAAGCAGATGATGTCATGCGGAGGGAGGACTACCACTCTCTTTAAGGGAAAGAAAGCAGCTAGAAAGTGTGCTGGTCACGTGGGGCTTTCAGGCTTGAAGGCCGGAGCGGAGGGAAACTCTAAACAGGGCAGAGCAGCTTTAGGGGCTCTCGGTCTCAGTCTTGCCTAGCCGCTCCTTGTGGACGGCGGTTCTGCCCAACAGAAACCGGACTTCACGTCAACTTTGGAAGCGCAGAAAGCCTCTCCTCCTCCTCCTCCTCCTCCTCCTCCACGACTGTGCCTAATCGGCCTCAGATGCGCCCTCCTCGCTGTGGCTTCCCGATAGATGGGAGTCAGCATTCCAGCCCGGCGTTTATTTAACTTGTTCAAAGGAACCGCAAATAGATCCCGGGGAAGATATTCCTTATAAGGAAGAGAATGCAGACTATTTTGAAATAGCTGGTCTCAGTAAAAGGCAGGAGAGAGGAGGAGGAGGGAGGGAGGGAGGGAGGGAGGGAAGGAGGCCAGAGAAATGCTACCGAATTTGCAGAGAGGAGATTCTGCCGGTCTTGGTTTTTTTAACTCCTCCAGGGAAAAAAGGTTTATTTTTCCGTAGACCTGACAGAGAATCTGGGGTCCTTGCCCAGCAGTGGGTTTTCCTTCTAAGTAGTGCCCGAGCCTCGCCTTTCCTTCCTTTGGCCCTTCAAATACTTTGCATTTTGTAGAAAGGGAGAGAAGGCGACTGCAGGGTGGAGGGATATGGCAGGCGAGGAACAGCTGGCAGGACAGAGGTACAGGAGGAGGGTGGAGGCGCTTGCCAGGAAGAGCTCACCTTTGCTGGCACAACTGGGCCCTGACTCATGGCTGTGCTCAGCTGGCGAGTACAGACTCCGCCTGGGGGGGGCGGGGGGGGGGGGGCGGGCAGCCTGAGTAACCGTTGGGCCGGCTGGGAAGGTGTCTCCCACACTTCCTAACTGCACAGCTCCTCTTCCCGAAATACCTTTCCCCCCTTCAGGCTGCAGCCTTGTAGATCAAGGGCCCCTGCCTGAACACGCCGCGTTTTGCACAAAGGGGGCCGGGAGGAGGAGCCCTTTCGGGAAGCAGAGGAGGAGGAGGAGCCGCCCTGCCGCCTTCAAGGTGGCGATCCTCCTGCTTTTCTCTCCTGGGGAAACGAGGGAGGGGATGGGTCTCTCATGGCAAATCTCTCCTCTTCCGTTGAGTGGGGAGGTTTCCCAGGTCAAGACAGCCGTCTTCTGAAGCCCCCGGCCCAATTGTAGCCCCCCCGGCCCCCGTGTGGTCTGGATCCCAAGGAGGTGGGGTCCCTCCAGGGGCCTGAAGGAGAGGCCAGGGCTAGGCTGAAAAAAAGCCACGGATATCCCGTCGCCTGCAGCCTCCTGGCTTGGCTCCTTCGGCCCCGTCAGCTCTTCCTCGCCCTCCTGGCCAGAGCCGGGTTTGGGCTGCCGGATTCTCGTCCCTGGCTGCCTTTAGCTGCACTTCCTCCGGGCGGATGAACCAGGAGGGGGAAATCTCATTGTGCTCAGCCAGCAGAGCGGACAGAACTGGGCTGGGGGAACGAAGGTGACGGACTGTCGGGGGGCGGTTGGCTTTGCAGTCCTCCCCATCTCAGCCCAGCACCCGGTTGGGGCTCTTCTGGGGTAGCGGATGGGCCTCCTGGCGGCGGCTGCTCCTCTCCAGGGTTCTCTGAGTCGGGGGTGGGGTGGGGGAGGGCAAATCTTGGAAATCCCAGCCTCCCACATCCTCCCGTATTGGGAAATCCCGGAGGTCATGACTCTCGGCTCCCGTTGTTGAATGGAGCATTTCTTGGCCCCCTGAAAGGAGTCCCTGCCCTCGGAGGTGGTGGTGGCCGAGGAGGAGCAGGCGGGGCGGGGGGAGGGGGGTTTCCGGTTCCAGCTGTGCCCTCCCCCGGGGGTTGCACACGGCCTTCTCTCCACTTCCCTCTTTCCACATTCGCTGCTGCTGCTGCTGCTCTCACGCCCGCCCGTCCTGGGGATTTCCTGGGGGGTTGTGCTGGCTGGCCCAGAAATGCCCTTTGGGTCCTCCTCGGTTTCTTGGGAACAATCTCCCAGGGAAAGTCCCCAGATTTCCTTCCCAGGCTCCGAGGGTCTCCTGGAAGTCCATCGGCTTTTCCACAGCAGTTTTTTCGCTTGGTTGTTGCAAGAGGGCTCTGAGAGCCTGGGCGGAAATGGGGGGAGGGAGTTGGCCAGGTGTGAAAGGGGGGCTGTCTGGGGCTTTTCCGGGGTTCAGGATCCCCCGGTGCCCGTGCTGGGCTGCAGTAGCGCCCCTTCTCAGCTTCCCCGAGGGGAGCCAGCAACTGCGAGGCCGCTGCTCGGGGCCCTCTGAATGCCGGGCTGCGTCAAGCGGCCGGGCTTTTTAGGCCCTCCCCCCTCCTGGGCCCTCCCCGGGGCGCTGGGTTGCAGGACCAGCCTGGCTCCCTCTCCCCTTGCCCCCAGCCGTGCCTTCGTCCCGCGGGGCGCTTTGCCGACTCTGGAACGGGGGTCCGCGGGCGCCGCCGCCGCCGCATCAGCCCAGCCTGAGCGCTGCGGGCTCCGCGGGTGCCGGCGGGGGCGTCCAGGCGGGGCTGAGCCGGGGCTGGGGAGGCGGGCGCTGCGGCGCGCAGAGGCCGGGCTGGCCGGCTGCTGCTGCTCCTCCTCCTCCTCCCTCCCCTCCCTTCCCGGCCCTGCCCGCCCGCGCCTTCCTCCTCCTCCTCCTCCCGCCCGTCTTCCTCCTGCGCTGCGGGCCCTGCGATGGCGGCGGGGCTGAGCTCGCTCGAGGCGGTGCGCAGGAAGATCCGCAGCCTGCAGGAACAGGCGGACAGCGCCGAGGAGCAGGCGGGGCGGCTGCAGCGCGAGCTGGACGAGGAGCGGGCGTTGCGCGAGCAGGTGAGCCGGCCGGCCGGCCGGGAGGGACAAAGGCGGCCCCGGAGCAGCGGCCGGAGCTCTTCGGCCACCTGGGCGCCTCCCGCCCTCTCTCCCGCCCGCCCTCCGCACTGCGCGGCCAGCCAACGAGGCTGGGCGGGCGACCCCCGGGCGCGGCTCAAGGGATGCCCAGCCCCGCCGGTGGCCCCGCCAGGTGCGTTAGGAAGCGGACGAGGCTCCTTCCGCGTCTGCCTGCAGGGGCTCCGGGCAGCCGGGACAAGCTCGGCCCTTCTTCCCCTTCTCCCCGCCAACCGCTCCCAGTTCAGGGTCCCTCCGGCTCCAGTGGCTCCCTGGATCCTTCGCGAGAGCCCCTCCCCCACCCTTGGCGCGCTGTCCCAGACCTGCCCCCCTCGCCCCCCCCTTTTTTGATGCTCTGCCCACCTCCGACTCTGAGCCCGCCCCCTGCCGCCCCCCAAGTGAGGGTGGGTCCTTTCCTGGCACCTGCTGGGCTTCTCCCAAGCGGGAATGGTCCAGGGTGCAAGACCACCTGAGCTAATATATTATGCAATATAATATAATATAATATAATATAATATAATATAATATAATATAATATAATATAATATAATATAATATAATATATCTGCCTAATATTCCGCTCTGCATATTCCAGACCTCAACTGTTTTAGAGAATCCCACAGTGGCAAGGAAGCCCTCCGGCCACTGGGACCAGCAGGAGCCCTTAACTGGGAGCCCCAGTCTGGCCCAATGTTGCATGTTTGGCCATAAAGCTAAAGGCTTCCTGGGCGGCAGAGGAAATGCTGCTGGCTGGGTTGTAAGGATGGTGCTGCTTCCTGGGGCTGCTTTTGTGGAGACCGAAATCGGTTGGAATCTGGGGGGGGCGAGGGGGATAACATATGGGGCTCCCCTCCCTTTCTCTGATGCAGTTAAGACCAGGGGGGCCTTTTCTGTTGAACTGTCCTGGGCTCCGAATGCCACCCTTTTAGCCAGGTAGCCTCGGGGTTTGGAGGCTGACCTGAGCACACCTTTCTCCCACCTGCCACTCCCCCCCCCAACTGGGCCAGCCAAGACAGCGTCTAATGGGGGTTGGGGAGGGGCGTCAGTTGAGGGGGCCTGGGTTGCAAAGGGGGGAAATGGTTGCTTCCCAAGGGGGGAAGGGAAGATCTGAATCCCTCCGTTGGCCAATCCCTCGGCCACCTGGAGTGGAGCCTCCGTTCATCTGCTGGCCTGTGCAATAATAATGGTATTTTTGTGACCATATAAGGAAATGGCTTTGCCTTGTGGAAAATAGAAAGCGATAATCATTGGCCCGGACAGGGTGGCTGTGCTGGTTTCTCTTTGGGAACAGGAAGTAGGAGAGCGACCTTTCGGCCTCCAAGGGACTCCGCCAGATCCCTTTGGGTGTAATGATTAACAGGAGCGCCGCGGCTTCTCTTTCCCTGGAGGGAAGAAAAAGTCTGCCACGCGGATTCGGGGGGGGGGGGGTTGCTTTGGGTGTCCGTCCCCCCCATGTGCTTTGCTTTGCTTGAATCAAAAATGGCCGAAGTAGCCCCTGGATAAACTTCCTGGGAGTTGATCTGGATTAGCAAGGGAAGGTGCAAGGGGAGCGTTTCCCCTAACTTTCAGCCTTGTGGACTGCAACTGGGATTGCTGGCTGGGGAATTCTGGGAGTTGAAGTCCACAAGGCTGAAAGGGGCCAAGCTTGGAGACCCCTGCTGGAAGAGAAGGGGAGAGCCTTTGCCCACCGGGCTCGTGGCCTGCATGCTCTTCTCGTGGCTTCCTCCCTGCGTGGCCTGAGCCAAAAGGTAGGGGCGCGGTCAGGGTGGCCAAGGCTGTTGGGTGGTTTTAGGAAGCGGAGAAGAGGATGGGCGCAGGTCCGCTTGGTTGGGTGCAAAGGATAAGGGCAAATCGCATCTGCTTTAATTCGTTGGGTGCCATTCGCTCTGAAGGAATTTGGTGCGCAGCAAACCGTCCCATTTTAAGTTAAATGGCGCTTATTGCCCCGGCTAGAAAAAAAATAGTCGTTTTTCTTCTCTGATGGAAGCCCTTTTTTCTTGGCTGTGAAGAGGCTAAACCAAGGATGTCAGACCCTGGTCCTGGGGGGGGCGGGGGGGGGGGCGTGATCTCCCTACACCTCCCTCTTTGTGGTCCACTGCCGCTCTCCTGCCAGTTTGCAAAAACGGGCGTCTTTCCTTCTTTCTGCCAGGCTGAGAGCGATGTGCAATCTCTGAACAGGCGCATCCAGCTGGTGGAGGAGGAGCTGGATCGCGCCCAGGAGCGCCTGACCACGGCCCTGCAGAAACTGGAGGAGGCTGAGAAGGCCGCTGACGAGAGCGAGAGGTGAGGCCGGGCCCCTGGCGTGGGGGGCGCTGGGCTGGCGCAGAGCTCCGCCCCTCGGGGCAGTAGAGCATCCTGCTGCCCTTGGGGCGCTGAGGGTCAGCCCCGTCGCCTTAAGGGGAACTCGGTGGAACACAGAGATGCAGAATGGGAAGGGGACCTCGGAGGCCATCAAGCCCAGCCCCTGCATGCGGCAGGACTCCCTATACCCTTGTCCCCAATAGGTGGGCATCCAGCCTCTGATGAAAATTGGCAGTGGAGGGGAGGAAACCACGTAACAGGACAATTTCAGGGACTTCAACTTCCCTCTAGATTGGCGTTTGTCAATCTTGGCAATGTTCAGGCGCCTGGACTTCAACTCCCAGAATTCTCCAGCCAGCCTCGGGTCATAAAGAGAAACAGTGGCGCAGGCAAAAGTTGATTAGGGAGAGACTCTCTCTCTCTCTCTCTCCCTCTCTCACACACACACACACACACACACAGGCTCAGGCAGGGGTCAGGGAACAATTGCAGGCACGGGGAGAGAAGGGCTCCGGGGACCGAAGCCCTGCAGAGCAGGCACTTTTCCCGGGGCAGCCGCTGAGGTTGAGCTAGGCGGGAGGGCGGCATTGGCAGCCCTTGTGACGGAGATCAGGGGCAGCCGAGCGGTTGCAACCCAAATCGGGTGGGTGGCTTTGCCCCTGACGGTGCCCCTTCCCTCCCCCAGAGGCATGAAGGTCATTGAGAGCAGAGCCCTGAAGGACGAGGAGAAGATGGAGATTCAGGAGATCCAGCTGAAGGAGGCCAAGAACATCGCTGAGGACGCCGACCGGAAGTACGAGGAGGTGAGCCTCGGCTGAGCCCTGCCTGGCATCCCGTCGGGTGTGGTGGGACCCCTGGAAAACTTTGGGAAGGGAAAGGCGGAGCAGCCAAGCCCCAGGCGGCCGAGGGGTCCCACCAGGAATCAGCAGAGGGGGGGGGAGGTGTTTCCCATCTCTGACGGCTTCTCCGTCCATCCAGCTGTGCTTGCAAGACTGCCCACCTCCCGGGAACAGTCGGGGAGAGCCTGCGAAGGCCCCCAGCTGCCAGGAGGGGGCTGATGTGGAGTGGCCCTTCCTTGGAAACGGCTTGGCCCCAAAGTCTGCACCAACCCCAGAAGCCAGTGGAAACGTGGCTCTTCCAGGGAGCTTCGGTGGACCGACGTCTCTTGATTGCATAACTTCCAACTTTGCCTTTCCATCTTAATAGTCCACCTGGCTCTCTGGAAGCCGCCCAGGACCTGGCTGGTTTCAGGAGTGCATCTCGGAAGGGAGGCAGCCCCTTCTGCCAGGGTCCCTTGCCGGGAATCCAGCACCCGCAAGGCATCCGTTGGCTAGAATGGCCTCCCCCGGCTTCATTTCCTCCCCCCCCCTTCTGTTTCCACGGCGGCTCTAGGTGGCCCGGAAGTTGGTGATCATCGAGAGCGACCTGGAGCGTGCGGAGGAGCGGGCCGAGCTCTCAGAAAGGTGCGCCTCCCTCCCTCCCTCCCTGGCTGCTGCTGCTGCTGCTGCTACTGGCCTTGCGCTGCCCGTGGATGTGGTGGCTGCTCTGGTGCCCTGGCTGTGCGCCCCAGTGGACGGGGCTGCTCTGTGTCCGTCCCCCATCCCCCACCCCCGTGCCTGTGTTTGCCTCTATGTGTTTCGGGCCGTGTTGGGGTTGGGGGGGGCCCTGGTGTGGTTTGGGTCACTGCATGCTGCCATTGGTC